TCCCCCTTATTTTCTCGTTATAAATTTTATTTAAAAAAAAAAAAAAAAAAACTCGATATTCTATATATTGAAAAAGTTGATTTTTGTTTTATTTTCACGATATTCTAAATTTAATGATCTCTCCCCCCCCCCCCCCCCTCTCTCTCTCTCTCTCTCTCTCTCTCTCTCTCTCTCTCTCTCTCTCTCTCTCTCTCTCGATAATTATTTTCAAACGAAATTAATTATTTCCGTATGAACAAGTTTTTCCTTTCTTTTTTAATTTAAAATAAATGTGTAATTAAAATTTTACAATTATTTTTTTTTACATTTTTATTTAAATATCAATAAATTTTAATTAATGAATGAAAAAATTTATGAATTTTTTATGAAAAATTTCATTAATTTTTTTATTTTCTTAAACGTTGAAACAGTTTTTGATATTTTTTTAGTATTTCACCTACTATTATTATTTTAAATTTCAATAAATAAATTATTGTTTTAAAATTTAAATTATTGTTTTTATTATTCATAGTTTATGCCTTTCGGCTTTGAACGGACTTCCGGTATATACACATATAAACTTGTAATACGATATTAAATTAAATAAATATTAAAACATTAAATAAATTAAATAAATAATTTTATTATTATTATTATTATTATTATTATTATTATTATTATTATTATTTGTTTTTATAATAAAATAATTATGCATTTTACAATGGTGATATGATCATTATTAAGAAAATGATTGAAAATACAATATAATAAATGATAATTGATATTCAATTGCAATTGTTATATATATAAATCAATTTAACAGATTTTCTTTGCCTGTTGACTATTTTCAATATTCACATAAATATTATATATGCATATACCCATATATACTTCACTTTATAATGACCTATTATGTTAATACAAGCATACGATCGATTTTATGTCATTAAACATGAACATCATATAAATTCTCTAACTCGCTCCCCCCCCTCCCCCCTCTCTCTCTCTCTCTCTCTCTCTCTCTCTCTCTCTCTCTCTCTCTCTCTCTCTCTCTCTCTCTCTCTCTCTCTCTCTCTCTCTCTCTCTCTCTCTCTCTCTCTCTCTCTCTCTCTCTCTCTCTCTCTCTCTCTCTCTCTCTCTCTCTCTCTCTCTCTCTCTCTCTCTCTCTCTCTCTCTCTCTCTCTCTCTTTTCTTCTCAAAGATAATAAATCATTGGTGCTAATTAATCTGCTATTAATTAATTACTAGTTTTATTAATTCTATTTCAGTTCCTCTTGTCTAGTTTCAAATTCTGATAATGTATTTTGATTTAAAATTTTCCATTATTTTTTTTTTTAAACAATAGAAATATTAAAATCAAAAAAAAAAATTTATAAACACAAAGGAAATAGTAAAAATTGGAAAAATTCCAAAAAAAGAAAAAATCGTGAAGGATTTTCTTTAAATTCTTTTCTTCTAATTAAATAATTGTACAACTAATTGGAAAATTGATACATTTATTTTATATTTATAATTTAATATATTATTAATTTATTTTAACTAATTAATTTAGTTTTCATATATATATATATATAGTTAAATATAATAAATAATTTTTATTATGAAAAAAAAATTATTTTTTTCTTGTCAAAATCTAATTTCAAGATATTTATGTCCCTTGGAAATATGATTAAAATTCAATGGACAAAATATATGACAATTTTATAGATCGTCATCATTAAAAAAGCATTTTTATAACTCCCTTAAAGTGTGTTTCATTACTACGCGCGAGAAAGTTTTATATAACACGTTTTCGCACTTTAATGTTTTAAGAATCCATATAATTATCTTTGCACGATATCTTTATTCTCTTGGTCATCGTAATTCATAAAAGTTTTCAAATGATCACCTTTAAAATGAAAATTTTAATAATAATAATAATAATAATAATAATAATAATATTAATATAATAATAAAATAATAAAATTAATAAAAACAATATTTTTTTAAAATTTTTATTTAAATAATAATAATTATCATTTTTTGTAAACATTAAAAAAAATTAATTATAATTTATGAAACACTTCTTTGTCCAGCAAGTGATTACTTAAATCAATTATGGAAATTCATCCTATCAGGTAGAACAAATTTTCCATGCTGCTGTTGCCGGAAATCCTACGTCTACTCTGAGAAAATCGATTACATACATTGTTAAGCCCTTAAAACTCTCCTTATACAGTTTAATAGATTTTCCAAATAAACTCATTTCCTATAAAAAAAAAAAAATCGAAATTTTTTTTTTTTTTTATTATTGTCAAAAGATTAGAGAATTGAAAAAACAATTTTCTTTTCTGTGAATTCATAAATATTTTTCTTTATCAATATAAGTCTTTGGTAAATGAAAATTGAATTTTTATTCCTTAAATAGATTTTTAATTAATTAATTCCTTTTTATAAATATCAATAGATTTTTAATTCCCTTTTTTTAAAATGTCAATAGATTTTTAATTTATTCCCTTTTTTAAAATGTCCAATAGATTTTTAATTAATTTTTTTCTTTTTTAAATGTCAATAGATTTTTAATTAATTAAAAAGAGAATATTGTGATTGATAAAAATATATATAAATTTTTCACTATTTGCAATATGTATTTTCTTTAAATCGATTTTTCTTGAAATTGGAATCATTTTCAAATGAATCTGATATAGAATATTCGCTGATCAGTAGTAACTGCTTTCTTGATATAATCCCGGGCGTTATATATTCCCACAAATCCACCGTCTATTATCCGGGAAATTACAGTGACCTCTATTCAGTGAGACAAGAATTTCTTCTATAGAAAATGTTTCCATGTTTGATAAAAAAAAAAAAAAAAGACATTTCTTAATATATATACTAAAAAATCTCTATAAATTATTTGACATTTCTTTATAGATTTTTTTTGATTTCTTAATTATTTCCACTTTTTATAAAAAATTTTATTAGATTAAAAAAATTTTTTTTTTTTGCTATTACTATTTAAAAAAAAGAATTTAAATTATAAATCAGTGATCTTGCTTGTATATCTAGAAATTCAAGGAACACTTGATATGTTTTATTGATTTGTCACATATATATGCGATTCGAAGAAATGAATAATTATATAGAGAAATTGAGGTCAATTATACACAATCCTATAAGAAATAAGATCAATTGATTAATTTCGTAAAAATTTTATAAATAAATAATTTACACTTCCCATAAAATTACTAAAATAAGGTGATTTAGTAGTAATTTAAAAAAAAGTTTTTAAATTATAAACAATATTTTGTATTAAATTTTTCTTTTTTTTAAAAATCAAAAATGAAAATAAATTTTTGTCGCAGAAATTTTTGTCCTGAAAAATAGAGTCAAAGTTTATGTCTCATTTTTTTTATGTAAGAGAGAGGGATATAATGTAGATAATATGGAAAATATAGAAGTAACGGAAAGAATGAAAAATGATTAAATGCACTTTACCACAAAAGAATGAACTTTCATTTTTTTTTTTTTTTCGGTGAATTTTATTGAATTTCGAGAGAAATAATAGAAAATAAGACTAGCATGGTCTGCAGATAAAGAAAATAAAAGCAAATAAACGTCAGTATTGGAGGGTTGATATTGTGTCCTCCATCGAGAAATTCTCTTTGCACTATCCTCCAGCCTGAAGAAATTCCGGAAAAAAAAGTCACGTTTATGAAGAATTCGAAAAGCAATATGCGACGTGTATCAGATTCTTTTTTAAAAATCCAATTTTCAAAAAATTATCAAATAATTCTTTGTGCCCTAAAATAAAAGAAATTAATATTATTTGTCTTTTTTGTAAAATGTTAAATAATCTCGCATTTATTTTAATTTATATTATTTTTTAAATAATTATTAAAAATATAATTTAATATTTCTATTTTATTATTTATATTAATAATATTTATAAATATTTCCTCAATAAGAAAGCAATATTATAAATAATTGATAAATATTACAAATAATTGATAAATATTATAAATAATTTAATAATAATAATAATTAATAATGTAATAAATAATATATTAAGAAATTAATTCATAAATTAAAGGAGAAATCTATAAAAAGATATAAAAAATTTATATCTACTTTTATTCTCTAAAAAAATATAGTTAATTTAAAAAATCAATTACTTTCAATCTATGAAACTTGAGGATTTTAATCCGGATTAAAAGTTACTCAATGATTAATATCGGTTTAACCATACTCATGATTGATCGGTTACAAAAATTGATTAACTTATAACCGAGGTTATAATAAAACGAGTACTTCAAATGAATTTTTTTCAATGAATAAAAAATTTATTATATTAAAAAAAACATATTTTATTAATTTATAGTTACTTTATATTATAATTTATAAATATATTTATATTTTTCATTAATTTTCATGATAGTACAATAATTTAATTTTTTTTCTATTTTTTATAACATGAAATTTTAATGGACAAAATTAGAAAATGACGCAAGGAACATTAAAGTTCGCAAATTAAAATTGTTAATTTACCCGAAAGCATTTACACGATAATAAATTATTATGAATAATTAATTATGATTCTCTCCACTTTTTGAAATGAATGTTGCTGTGTATCTAAAAAAGTACATTTTACTGCTGGTAAATTCTTTTATCGCTGAAGACAATTACTAGAAATAATTAAAAACACTTGTATATAAATACACCGGAGACCTAAATAAATTTTTTTTAATTATTTTGTCTGACAAATTTTTTGAAAAAAAATTTTCATTTAAAAAAAAAAAAATTATTTTTAAAATAAAATGGAAAATCACTTTTGTTGTAAATAAAATCGCCAATGAAAAAAAAAATCGCGTCAACATGAACACGTCATATTCTTTAATAGACTCTTTTTTTTCACCCTCACGATCCCAATTTTCGCTGTTCGCGCAACTTTATAAAGTTCTTTAAACAAAAAGTTTTCCCATTAAAGTAAAAAGTTTTTTTCTAAAAAAACAAATACAAGACTTGATATATATAAAACTCACCGGAATCAAGTAAGATCTCTCGATCATCCTTGTTGATTCACAAGAAATTAAAATCCAAATCACTGTTTCACTTTAAAAAACAAAAAAATATCTCAATTTTACCTACAAAGCACCTGTGTAAAAAATAAACTATTTTATTTCCCCCTTTAAATTAGAAAAAAATTTAAAACTAAAAAAAAAATAATTCACAAGAAAAATTAAATTTTTTCACACACACACACACACACAGAAATTTATCAAAAAAAGAAAAATTAATTTCCCTTCTCAATGAACACAAAAATTTGACTGACACATAAAATATATTTAAAAAAAAAAAAAATTTTTTTTTCGATTTATCGAACCTCGTGGTGTTATTTTTTCTTCTCTTTTATTGAAATCAATGACACATACACACATACACAATAAAACGTTATTCGCGCCACGAGGCTGTCGGGCTGAAATGCACCGCGCGAGTAAATCGGCTTTTACGAGAGGCGCGCGCTTTCTCCCAAGAATATCATACACAGAGCCACCTCGTGGCGTTTTGAGAAGAAATAAAAAACATTGGACCACCACCTACAACCCACAAGAATCCCACCCTCGACCCCTAACTCCCCCCCCCTATTCCATTTAGGATTGAGAAGACAGAGGGTGAAAAGGGGTGAGAGTGGGGGGAGAATTCTCACAGTCACTCCACTTTGTATCACGAACCCCCGGGATTAGAGTTAGGGGATAGACTTCTGAATTTAGAGACGAGATGAAGGAAGAAAGGAGAAGCTTTAAACTTCCCTAAGAGAGAGTAAGAGAGAGACTCAACTTTTGTGGATGAAAACTACTTGGAAGGTCATAGTGATCAAGTGTTTCAAATTCATGGTGAGATAAACATATTCATCTTCTTGAGCAGCAAAAGAAAAAAAAATTAATCTCAACTTTTTTTTTCCTCAGTAATTTCATTTCGAGAAGAAATTTTTCTTTTATAATCATTTTGCAGGGAGAATATTCAGAAATAAAAAAATATTTGTCTCGCATAGCTTAAAAAAATTCCATTTTTTTTCGTAATAATCTCATTTTGAGAGGAAATTTTCTTTTCCGATATCTTTTTTCCATGAAACTGAAATATTCTGTATTGGATAAAAAAAATCACTTCTTGAATAGCAAGAGAATTTGGTTTTTCAGTGTTAATCTCATTTTGAGAGGAAAACTTTCCTTTTTTTGATCTAGCCTCTCGAATAAAAACGTCTCGATTAAAAAATATTCAGTATAAGTTAAAAATAATTCCCTTCTCGAATAGCAAGAAAATTTTCTGTTTTTTCGTCGGTAATCTCATTTTGAGAGGAAATTTTCTATTCCTAATATGGCCCCTCACATGATCTCCTTTCGAAACTAAAATATTCATTGTGAGTTTGTTAATTTTCGTACATTCAGAAACAAATTTCAGTTTTTTCAACGGTAATCTCGTTTTGAGAGGAAAATTTCATATAATCTCTCTCAGGATCTCCTTTCGAAACTAGAATATTCAATCTGAAATTATTAATCTTCATTTATTCTGTGTGAAATAATATTCCTTTTATTGAACAAAATTTCAGTTTTCTCAACGGTAATCTCATTTTGAGAGGAAAATTTTCTCTCCTGTTATAGCCTCCTCTCATGATCTCTCGAAACTAGAATATTCAGTGTAAGATTGTTAATCTTTTATATTTATTTTTATACGCGGCAAACAATTTAATTATTTTCTACAATAATCTTTTTTTGAGAGGAAAATTCTTGTGATATAGCACTGTTTCCTCTAGAATCAAGAATAATAGTAAAAAAATGTATTTTTTTTATTTTAAACGAGAGAATTGCGAATGTAACAGTAAATGATTATAAAATACAATTAATTCAAAATTCAGTAGTAAAAGAAAGTTTGTAGTCAGACAGAATTTCTTTTTTTTTTGTAATTAAAGAGTCAGTACTAAAAATGTTACAGTCAACTTTATTTCCATTTTTTTTTGTAAAATTAGTCTCAGTAGTAATAGATATTTTTAGCTAGACAATTTTTTAATTCTTGTAAATTTAAATTGTAATTTAATTCTCGTTTTATTATTAACTAGTAGTAAAAACCAATTTTATGTCAAACAAAGTCTCGTAATTTTTCTATCAATTTTAAAATTAAATATTTAAGACTATTCTAGTAATTTTTAGTATCAGTAACAAAACAATAAGTCAGACAATTTTTAAAATTGTTATAAATTTTTTTTTATCAGTAGTCATAGTCAATTTTAGTCAGACAAAACCATTTTAACCATTACTAGTAGTAAAAAAAAATCAAACTTTTTATCGGTTAAAATATATATTTTTCTAGTGAGTATCCAGTAGTAGAAGACAATTTATGTCAGACTAAATATAACCTGCGTTTTTTTAAATCAGTAGTAAAAGTAATTTTCAGTCAGACAAAAAAATTTCAATATATATAAACAAAATTAGTAATTGAAGATAATTTTAGTCAGATAAATTATTATTATAACTTTTTTTTATCACTTCTAAAAATACCGAATTCCACAAAATTTCTTCAAAAAAAAGAGTTTAAAAAAATAACAAAACAAAGCTCAAATTATTCTACTGTATGAGAATTATTAAACTAGAAAGGAATTTGGAATGTGCAGAAAATTTTCTCTGTATAAAGTGAATCGTTTATTTAAATAGAGGGAAACACATACAATTTTTTTTTTATTACTATGAAAATGTAACTTTTTAATGGAATGAAAAAAAGAAAATTATTTCCCGCTTATGAAAACATTTGTTTTATTAAATTAATTTTCAAAAGTTGATTTTTGAATCATAATATATGTAATTTAATTGTATCAATTCAAAGGTCTGTGAATTCATTAAAAAAAATTTTTGTATAATAAACGTAGAAACAAAAATACGTAATCGATATACGATATGTTTTATATAAAGCTAGCTCATACATATATATATATATATATATGTATACTGTGAGACTGAATTCATGATTTTGTTTACATGAAACCTGTTTCAGGTATATTTGCCGTTGAAATTCGTACCTCTGTCCAACGTTAAATATTGATAGTGCATATTAAAAATGCTTAATTATTGAATACTCATACATAATTCAAAAAAATAAATATTATTTCCCAATTGCTTTATTTTTGTATATAAAATAATTTAATTTTCAAAAATTTCCCCTGAAGATTAATTTTTAGTAAATTAATTTTTATCTTTTTCTAATTAAATTTTGAACGAATTTTTTTTTTTTTTTTTTGATTTCCAAAAATAAAATTGAAAAAATATTTCATCCAATATTTCGAAAGTGAAAAATTGAGTAAGAATAATATGGAAAATTTTTTTTTAACTGTTATTTTATATTTTACAATCTCAATTTATTTATAGAGAGATGTATATTTATTTTTTCAATAATTTATTTTTCATTTGAACATTCATTTTTTTTTTTTAATAGATAGAATCCTTTTCATTTTGGTAAAGTATCAGATTTTTCATTTTCTCTGTCAGTAACAAAGGTCACGTATGCTTTATTCAACTAAGCTTTCCTTTGAGCTAGGTCAGTGACTTGCCCTTCTCTTTGCTTTTTAAGGGCTTCTTTTTTTCCCAAGCTAACGTTTTATGTTACCCTGAATTTTTGCCCCCTTGTGTACGATATTAAATCCAAGGCATGACATTCACATTTCAAAGTCATCCTTCTTTTATTTCTAGTACGTAATTAATGATTTTTCATGCAGAAACTGTTTTTTTTTCTCTCATATATATACATATAACAATTTTACATTCCGATATAATATAAAAATATTTCACCAAATATTTAAAAAAAAAATAAATATAAAAATTAAAATAACAATTTCTGAATTGTTATAAAAATTTATTTAATACATCAAGTTGAATATAATAAAATATTTTACGATTTACGGGTAAAAAAAATAGTTGTGTTTTTTTTTTTTTGAAGAAAAATGTAAAATATATTTATTATTTTGTCAGGCAGAAAAAATTCAACATAGTATGTTTCATGTGTTTTATATATATAAAAAAATATGTAAAGTCGTAGAATCAAAGAACGACATTTTCAAATGTAACATGCATTGTTCCCTTTTGTTACGAAACTAAACATTTCGTCGTCCGGTATTCAAAGCATGCTGGATGGAATTTTCGGTCTATTTACCGCAACGACAAGAACCGAAGTAAACCACCCTACTTTTGCCGGGCATCTTTCAGAATGTAAAAAAGTTACGATCTATTAAATTGGCTCTTAAAATGTGAAAATATTCTTTTCTGTCTATTTGAATTTTAATTCGTTCATGTATCGAGGTCAGTTTGAAAATTTTGATAATTACAATTACTGATTATTACTGATATTTACTGATTATTACTGATTTACTAATTACAATCACTGATAATTACAATTACTTATATACTACAATGACTGATTATTACCGTTACTGATAATTTCATGTTTTTATTATTACAATTTATTTTTACCTACAATCGCTACTGATTTTTGTATTTAATAGTTTAGCTACACGAATATATTATAACAAGAGAAAAAATCCCATGCGGCGGGAATTGAACCCACGACCCTAGCGCTCGCAAGTCGATACTCTAACCGCTCAACCACTAACGCACGCTGAGAAATTTACAAAATACTAGAAAACATTCTTCCTATATGAGTGTATTTAATTATTATTAAATTATTTTTACATTTTATAACTAATTTCAATCTGTATAATCTCTTTTTTTGGTTATTTAATTATAAGATTGAAAACTGTTTACCACATTCTAATCAGAGTCCCCTCCCCCCTCTCTCTCTCTCTCTCCTTTGGAATGAGGAAGTGTTTCTCGAATTGTGATGTGTAACTGTATGAATGCCGCAGAAAAAAAATAACCCCCCCAACGTTATAAGTTCGCTTGGATCGATGCTACGGCAACGACAGCGACAGCGTGGCTCCAGTCGGTCAGACTGCTAGTCGACAGCATTTTCGTATCATCATAATAAGAATATTCTGGTATACCATGCCAGAATCTATATATACATATATATATATATTTATATATGCTTTATAGAACTATTCTCATCCCAATTCACTGTTTCCATTTCCATTTTCGTTTTGTACAAGTCTACTCCTTTTAGTGCCATCGTCACATCTGCTTTTGCTCTGATCGTCCGGCTCTTCTGCTTTCGACAGAAAACGGATTTGATACGAGAAACTACATTTAAGCTAATCGTTGCTCAATCGCCTGAAATCCGTAGGAGTGCAATTTTACCTATTTTCACATGGCATTTGCAAGTGTTTCTCTGATGTGATTTCTTTTTGAAATTTAATTTACTGACACATTCTTCAAATGCTATAAAAATCACTTTAAAATGATCAGAAAAAAAGAGGAAAGAAAAGCAATTTAATTATAATTCCTGTTTTTTTGAATCAAAAGAAAAAATGAAAGTAATACAGTTATGTACAATTAAAATAATTATTGAGTAATGAATAGTAAATAATAAGAAACTATTTCCTGCCACATCAAATTACGTTTACTGATACAACGAAATTAAGTCGAGGATTCGCAAAACTAGATCGCGGCTTTCGACAAATTAGTTCACGGATTTCGAGAAATTAAATAGCCGATTCTCCGCGAATTGCAGCGAAATTATAACACGAATTCCGCGAAATTAAATCACGGATACGCGAAACTAGATCACGGAATCGCGAAATTAGATAGCGGATTCACAGCGAATTGCACGAAATGATATCACAAATTCCGCGAAATTAGGTGGCGGATTTAGCGAAATTAAATCACGGATACGCAAAACTAGATTGCGGATTTAGCGAAATTAGATAGCAGATTCACCGCATATTGCAGCGAAATGATATCACGAATTCCGCGAAATTAAATCACGGATTTCGCGAAATCAAATAGCGGATTCACAGCGAATTACACGAAATGAGATCACGAATTATGCGAAATTAAATCACGGATACGCGAAACTAGATCACGGATTTCGCGAAATTAGATAGCGCATTCACAGCGAATTGCACGAAATGAGTTCACGAATTCCGCGCAATTAGGTGGCGGATTTAGCGAAATTCAATCACGGATACGCAAAACTAGATTGCGGATTTCGCGAAATTAGGTGTCGGATTTTGCGAAATTAAATCACGGATACGCAAAACTAGATCACGGAATTCACGAAATTAAATTGCGGATTCACAGCAAATTACACGAAATGAGATCACGAATTATGCGAAATTAGGTGGCTGATTTAGCGAAATTAAATCACGAATACGTAAAACTAGATTGCGGATTTCGCGAAATTGGATAGTGGATTCACCGCGAATTGCACAAAATGAGATCACGAATTCCGCGAAATTAAATCACGGATTTCGCGAAATCAAATAGCGGATTCACAGCGAATTACACGAAATGAGATCACGAATTATGCGAAATTAAATCACGGATACGCGAAACTAGATCACGGATTTCGCGAAATTAGATAGCGCATTCACAGCGAATTGCACGAAATGAGTTCACGAATTCCGCGCAATTAGGTGGCGGATTTAGCGAAATTCAATCACGGATACGCGAAACTAGATCACGGTTTTTACGAAATTAGATAGCGAATTCACTGCGAATTGCACGAAATGAGATCACGAATTCCGCGAAATTAAAAAACGGATACGCGAAATTAGATTGCGGATTTCGCGAAATTAGGTGTCGGATTTAGCGAAATTAAATCACGGATACGCGAAACTAGATCACGAATTTCGCGAAATTAGGTGTTGGACTAAGCGAATGTAAATCACGGATACGCGAAACTAAATCGACATTAGATCACGAATTCCGCGAAACTAGTTTGAGAATTGCGCGAAATTAGATCACGGATTCCGCGAAACTAGCTCGCAAATTGCTTGAAATTAGATCACGGTTTCCGCGAAAATTGGTCTCGGACTTCACAAAACTAGATTGCGGATTGCGCGAAATTAAATCACGGATTCTGCGTAACTAGGTCGCGCGTCTCGCTATATTAGGTCACGGATGCCGCAAAACTAAGTCGCGGATTGCACGAAAATATGTAACGGATTACGCGAAACTAGAACGCGGATTTTATGAATGTAGATCACGAACTCCGCGAAAGTAGGTCGCCTATTGTGCGAAATTAAATCACGAATTCCGCGAAACTAGGTCACGCGTTTCGCGATATTAGGTCACTGATGCCGCAAAACTAAGTCGAGGATTGCACGAATTTAAATCACGAATTCTGCGAAATTAGGTCGCGGTTTTCGCGAAATTAAATCACGGATTCCGCGAAACTAGGTCGCGCATCTCGCGTTATTAGATCACGGATGCCGCGAAACTAAGTCGCCTATTGCGCGAATTTAAATCACGAATTCCGCGAAACTAGGTCGCGGTTTTCGCGAATTTAGATCACAAATTCCGCGAAATTAAATCACAAATTCGGTAAAACTAGGTTGCGGATTGCGCCAAATTAGATCACGGATTCCGCGGAACAAATTTTGCTGTGAGGGCAAATATAAAAAATAAAATAAAATCGTGCGTCCACGTCATACATGATTTTATATATTTTTTTTTATATAAATATGAGAGTAGAAATTATATGCAAGTGACGTATAATGTGAACAAGAGCAGTGCGGAATGAAATATTAAATGCCGGAAAGCAGATTCCATTATCAGATAACTGTGAAAGTAAGAAACAACGAGAAAGAGAGATAGATATAGATAAAAAGCTTCTTGGATTCTTGATGCGCGCGCCCATGCAGATGAACAAAAAAAAAACATCTTTTTTTTCAACAAGTGAAAATATCCTGACGAAAACGATTAAGTTTCTATAATTAATTTATATCCCGTTGGCAAATCCATGAAATTGAATAATTTACTTTTACATCGATTTATTTCTTTCGGTTTTTTTTTTTTTACTTATATATAGTCATCTATTTTTATCAAACAAAATATTTATTATTTTTGAAATACATTTTGCAAGACATAATTAGGTTAAACATATTCATGTAAATATATATTGAAAGAAAGTAAAAATATGTTAAAAACACGCAAATGGCATTTTTGACGCTTTACACTTAACAGAAAGCACAGCATTTTTTTTATTTCCAGAGATGAAGCACGTAATCCACTTTTTGTGTTTCAAGTACGGGGGTTTTTTTTGTTTTTTTTTTTCTCTTTTACATTACATCAGAGCTTTTTTCATCGCTCAACAAAAAGTGTGTGGATGAGAGTCGTAAAGATTTTTCTCCCTTCTATTTTAAAATGCAGTGTGACAACAATTGCATTTAATATATTATTCTTTTAGGCACTTGTTATTGAAAGATAAATTTTTTAAAGAAGCTTATAAAAGACAGAAACGAAAGTGTATATGTGTAAAAACACATTTTTTTTTTTTTTTACTATGCACTGTATTGTTATTTTTACTATACACTGTATTGCTATTTTTACTATACACTGTTTTGCTATTTTTACTATATATTACAATTTTGATTATTATCCATAATGACTAATACTGCGTTTAAAAAATCTTTACTATTCAATTTTGTCATATTTGATTTTTTTTTTTTTTACTAGCATTGAAATAGGGTTGTAAAAATATTTTAAACGTATATTTCAATGGCTGGATTTTTATGACACCCATTTCCTGTGTTAGTTTTACATGCGCGCACAGTCCCATAAGTACTTGAGAAAGCAAAAGTCTCTTTAAGTATAAAAATTATTATCGAGTTTTCAAACATTTGATATATTAAAAATTACTTTAGAATCAATTTTTCATTAACTATGAATTTTCGTCTATAAATTTTAGTTTGGAATTTATTTTTTATTTAAACATAATTAAACACGGTAAAAATGAAATAAAATATTCAAACTATTTAATTATTTATAAAAATTAAAATTAAACTCAGCAAAAGTGAAATAAAATATTAATACTATTTAATTATTTATAACAGATAAAACAATAACAACAACAACAATAATCATATAATAATATTAATAATAATAATAATAATAAAAATAATAACAATAATGTTTTTAATTACAATCCGAAACTATATTTTTGTAGTAAATTTTTTAATGGATAATAAGTATAATATTTTTTATAACATTTATTATTATTATTATTATTGTAAAATTAATAAAAATTCTAAAAATATAATAATAATAATAATAAAAATATTATATTATTAATATTAAAAAAAAATTATTGCAAACAATATTATTATAAAAAATTAGTATAGAGAATTGTTAATAATAATTTTTATTTAAAAAAAAATACAAACAAATTTTTATAAAATTCATTGAAATTTTTTCATATAAATATTTGAAATTTTTTTTTTTTTTTTTTCATAAAAAATCCTGCAGGATCGATAGAACAAAATCCTTTGGAGAAAACTGCAATGTAGTGACATCTTTGAACAAACGTTGAAACCTTGTTTTGAACAAATGCATCGCTCACCTATTGTTCGGATAACATAGTTGCGCGTCACGTTCACAATGTCTGACACGTAGACACTTGTGCTCCAACACAAAAAATAATAGAAAAACAAGTGAAAAAAAATTCATTAAACGTTTATAACTATTTTTTTTGAATCGATAAATTATGAATTAAAATTAAATTCTTCACTTAAAAACCGGATTATAATTAATTATTCGTGTATAACTGTTAATGGTAGAAAAAAAAAATTACAGATTATTTTCTAAAGTGTTCTCAACACGGAAGTTTATATATATATATATATACAGAGTGTGAGGAAATTTTTATTTATAATTTAAAAAACAAAAAAAAAAAAGAGAAAATTTTATATTGCCCTTTAATTTTTTGACAAAAATTTTTCTATTTTCTATTAATAATTATGAGTGACAGTGTTAATATCATTCAAAAAAATTGAGATAAAAATTTAATGATTTTATTTTCAAAAAACAGCATGTCGCATTCTGTCTATACAAGTGTTTATTCTTTAGTTTTATTTTTTATTATTTTTGAAATACAGGCTTTTAATGTGCCTGATCAATATTTTAAGGTAAGTGTGAAATTAAATTAAATTTTTTGTTGCGAATGAGAAATATATATATATATATATATATATATATATATATATAGGGTATAAATATAAATTTTATGGGGTGAAACATATTGATCATGCGTCCTCGCAAAGTTTTCCTTATTTGACGTCTACTGCTCATTTACGTGGGTGTACTTCCCCCTTTTTTTCTTATTAGATCATGAATTACACATCAATACATTTTGAGAATAATAAAAATTCATTTTTTACTTATCTATTCTTAATTTATCAAATTTCTGTTTATTTTGAAAATTTTCTGTTACTCTTTTTTTTTATAATATTATTTTAAAATAGTTCAAAAAAAAGAGTACATGTGGATTCGAAATTATGGATTTTTGGAAAAAATAATTTAAATGGTTACAAAAAGTACAAAAAATATTTTCAATATAAAAGCCATCTATATATTTATAAAAATAAATTAATAAAAATATTATTTTAAATTATTAATTTAAATTATTTTAGTAAAAAAAATAAATTTTCAAATTATTTTCAATATATTTTGTCAAATATGTAAAATAAATTATTTTCAAGCAGTTAAATTACTTTTTGAACCTTGAAAAAATAAGATAATGTTTAAATGACTAAAAAAATAAAAACAAAAAGAAAAAAACAATTTAGATATTTTTTAAACATTTTTTCGAAATGCTTGGTAAATTATTTGTTAATAATCTAAAATTGCAATATAAGGAAATTTCAAGGAGAAAACATATTTACGTGCGTGTCATTTTTAAGTTTAATTTAATGTTTTACCTGAAAATTTTTCCAATTAAAATTAATTTACAAATAAATTTTAACTTTTTTTTTATGAGCCAAAAGTTTTGAATGAACAAAATTTTTTTTTGTAACTTCTTTAAATACAAATTTTATTACAAAATATTGTTTTAAATATCAAAAAAAAAAGTTATTAATTTAATATTAGTTTAATTTACTGTTTTATTTTACATTGACATTATAATTTTTAATAATTTATAGATTGAAAAAAATATTTTGTTCAAAACTTTTGGCTCATTTTTTTTTTAGAAAGTTATTTAACAAATAATTGTTATAATTTAATTTATTTATTTGAAATTTGAATTTAGATTTATTTGAAAAATAATATATTCCATATATTTTAAATTAATAAAAATTAAATTAAATTGCTATAATTTTAGATTTGCAAATAATGTTTATCAATGAGGAAATTGCGCAAGATATTGATCAATTTTTTTATTCTATAGAAACTTTCGAGATAAGATAATGCAGATTATATTTTGTTTATTCTTTATCAATTAAATTTTTTTTTTTTTAATTAATGTATAAATTTTGCTATATAATTATTATATTTTTATTTATTACCCATATTTCTCATTTTCAATTTATATAAAATTTTTTTGTTCTAAGAAAAAGAAATTTATTTTTTATAAAATAAAAATTAATTCACACTTGTATTTTCAGAGAGCTGTAAATTTGTATCGCGATTCAAAATATAGAAATGACATTGATAATTATCAGGAAATTGAAAACGAAAGGATGTTGGATCCAATATTTAACATCCGAAATTATAATTCAATTTCAAGGAGAGCTCCCTTGATACAATTGGAAGGACTAGATCCAAGTAGGCGATTTTTTCATTGAATACAAAAAAAAAAAGAAAATTTTTTCATCTGTAAAAAAAAAGATAAAATCTTAATTCTTTTTCTATTTCAGAAATACAGTGGAATAAAACTTGGGGATCACAATTAAATTTAGGACAAGTATCAGCAGTGTCAATAGATCCACAGGGAAATGTTGCAATTTTCCATCGTGGTTCACGTGTATGGGATGGTGGTTCATTTAATGGAAATAATGAATTTGATTTTAATAATGAACCAAATTGTGGACCCGTTAAGGAGTCAACAATTATTTTATTAGATAAAAATGGTAACGATATATTTCATTGGGGTGGTGGTATTTTTTATATGCCACATGGTTTGACAATTGATCATTTGGGAAATTATTGGATAACCGATGTGGCAATGCATCAGGTATTTAAATTTGATGCAAATGATATTGCACAAAATAGAGAGCAATTAATGAAGAATTCAAATCGTGATATTAAATTTGAAAAATGTGCCGATTTTAAAAATTCCTTTAACAATAGTTTAATTAAGCCAAAATTAATTTTGGGCACACCATTTAAGCCTGGCAGTGATAATGATAGATTTTGTAAACCAACATCCGTTGCTGTGATGAAAAATGGAGATTTCTTTGTTGCCGATGGCTATTGTAATTCGAGAATTATTAAATATAATTCAAAAGGCGAGAGAATATTATCCTGGGGACGAAGTGATGGATTTTTTGGTATATTTTTTTTCTTGAAGTAGAAAGAATTAATTTTTATTTTCAATTTTCTAAATGATTTTTTTTTTTTGCTCTTTTAGATGTGAATCCTTCGCCTGATACTTTTAATATTCCACATGCATTGGCATTGGCTGAGGAATTTGGTTATCTTTATGTTGCTGATCGTGAACATGGAAGAATTTTATGTTTTCATACATCAAATGGATCTTTTCATAAAGAATATAAAAATAAAATTATTGGTGGTGCTATTTATAGTGTTGATTATGCGCAGGAAAAATTATTTTTAGTTAATGGACCATCAATGGATCCGGCATTAAATAAACCAAATCGAGGATTTATCATTGATCTTAAAACAGATGAAATAATATCAGAATTTGCTCCCAATGGTGCAATGGGTCGACCACATGATATTGCAGTAACACATGATGGTCTTGAAATTTATGTCGTTGAATTGGATAAAAATCGTGTTACAAGATTTGATCAAGGTAATCAAGAAATTTTCCATTATTTAAAAATTAAAAAATCTTTTTTAAAAAAATAGTGTTTTTCGATTTTGAAAAAAAAAAAATTGTTTCTTTTTGAAAATCACTCAACAGTGTCAACCTCACGAAACTTTAAAAGGAACAACCAGAAATTGTCCTTTATGAACCAATTTTATTCCGGGATGTATAAATGAAGAGGCTCCAAAAAAGGCTCCAATAAAGGCTCCTAGGAGTGATAAATTGTAAAAATTTACTATTACTTAGTTTTTGTTCCCTTTTTATTTCAAAAACGGTTTTTCGTTTATTTCTTTACATTCAGAAAATAGTTTTCTTTTATCAAATTTTTTTTTTTTTCAATTAAAAATAAGGTTACATTTTTTTTTTTGGAGGGGAAAATTTGGACCTTATTTTTTTGAGATTGGAAAAAATGTTTGATTAGAAATTTAATACAACTTCTCTCTGAATGTAATTTTTTTGTAGTTTTTGTCAGAAAATTTGTTTCTCTTTTTGTTCCTTTGAAAAAAATAAATTTCCCTCTATTCTGATGCAAATTTAAATTGGTCTAAATTTTTATTGTAACTAACAAAACTGTGTAATTGATTAACAAATAATCTTTGTTTGTATTATTGCTAAAAAAAATCGACAAGAAATTGTACAAAAAAAAATCTCGTTTGAATTTTTCCAACTAGAGACAAAAAAAAAAAAATTTTTTTTGAATTTTTGAAAAAATTTGAATCAGAAAATGTAGTTCTTTTTTGATTTGAAAGTTTTTTTTTTTTGTTTTAAGTCTCCTAAAACTAGGCTTCTAGAGAGACTTGAGGATACTTTTGGTAGCTTTTTCATTTTGTGCTTTTGTAACCAATATTATTTGTTTTTTATTACAGATAGAAATAGTTCATCTTTAATTAAATCGTCTGATTTAAAAACAATTGGGACAACAGTTCCTGATTTTAAATCGGCACTTTTAACAGATATTGATATTAATAAGACATCAGGCAAATCAAGTTCCTTAGTATTTTCTCTCATCGTATCATTAAGTGTTCTAATTGTAATCTCCATATTATTAGCAGTCATTGTGTCAAGATGGAAAAAAAGAGGTAGATTATTACGTCACGAAAATGATAGAGTCGAATTTACAAAATTGATGCAAGATAATGAGGATGAATGAGAATGTTTGTGTTTGTAGGTTTTTTCTATTTTAAAATAATTTTTTAAAATATTAATTTGCAAAATTAACAAAAAATTTATGTTTAATTTTTTCTTAGAAAATTTTAGTATTAAATTTTTCCTTTTTTTTTTGCTTTTCGATTTGGTAAATATAATTAATTTGAAACCTAATTGCAAAGTGCTTCCTTATTGAGAAAGTATTCTTAATTTTGAAAAATGAGTTTTTAGTTTTGTTTATTTTAATTTTTTTCTTGTACTTATTATTGGATATTATTTTTAGACAATTTTTATGTGCATTATTATTGTAACCAAAGATATTAATTTTTTTTTGTATTCTAGTTTGCAAAATTCGTATTTATTAATATTTATAAATGTATATGTTTATGCTATATCAGAAAAGAAAATTTTTATTTGATTCAAAGAAATTACCACTTTTTTTTCTTATTATTATAGAATCATTTCAAAAATTTACAAAAAATTGTTTTTTAAAGAAATTTTGTTTTCTTTACATCAAAGAATTTCTGTTAATTTTCATTGATTCAAAAAAAAATTGTTTTTCTGGATATTATTGCAGAATTTAATTTTTGTTTTTGATTATAAAACAATTATATTTGAACTGCCTATAAATATTGTGCATTTTGTAAATGTTGTACAGAATTGTTTAATGTTGAAGAGTTTTTTTTTCTTTTTTAATTTTATGTTTAATTTATAGTTTTATGTAAATAATTTTTAAAAAAATTTTTTTTTCTTCAAGTAATTCATAAAATAACAGTCTCTGTCAAAAGTTAATTATTTTTAATTCATCTTTATTTCTTTATAAATAAATAAAAAAAAAAAAAATTTTTCTTTGTACAAAAACAACAACTTTCGTCAGAGACTGTAAATGATGAAAAAAAACCTTGTAATGTGCATTTTTGCATTCATGTAACTATATATACTGTAATTAGTAGCATTTTTAGTTTTTCTTTTTTATTCGCTTTAAATTTGAAATTATAATTAAAAATAATTAATTTGTTATTCAAATCAAAAATTTTTCTCTAAAAATTAATTAATTTTTAATTATAATTCAGATTTTGAGAATTAGTTATTATTGTTTTTTTAATTTTTAATCAGTCATTCCGTCCTTGATATAATTTTTTGTATTTCAATTTTTATATATTTTTCATATACAGTGGTGGATAGAAAATTTATTTGTTGTCCATTTTCATTTTTATTATACACGAATAAACTTTTCTTTATTCTGTTATGTTTATTTTTATGCTTATATTGTTTCCGTATATTTTCCTTTAAATCCTTTATTTACTATTTTATTTATTAATTAACTAGCATATTTTTGAAATTATTATTATATTATTATTTGTTCTTAGAATATTTATTGTTGTTATCGTTGAAATTGTTGTAATACTATTGTTATTATTATAATTACTATTGTTATAATTTGTATATTTTACATTAATATATAATATATTATTATTATTATTCTTATTATTATTATTCGAATATTATTGCGTAATAACAATTATATATTAATTTGCAATTAATTATTATTGTTTTCAGTCAAATTTAAAAAAAAAAATTTTTTTTCCCAACTTTCACAAAGTAATTTACTTATTACATTTGTTTTACTGCGAAAGCAAAACTCGTTCAGTTATTATTATGTTGTTGTGAAAGTAATTATTTGCTTGCATAAATTTAAATGATTTATATAAATATCAAAAATTTCTTCTTATTTTTTCATAAAGCAAATTTGTTTTTTGACCAAAAAAAAAAAGAAAAAGGTACAAATAATGTATATTCTCTGCAGGATGTTTATTAACGTCTCGCAGAAGAACAATATGGGAAACTGAAAGAAAAGATAATTTTAAACTCACGAGCCTACTGGAAAATAAAGCGGGAAGGAAATTTAAATTTTTTGAAAAAAGACCAAATACTCGTGATTTCAGTAAATTGAATACAGAACCAGAAACATCAGAGGACGAACATTTAGAAGATAAATTGGTGACATTTTATGTCAACGATAATAATCATTTAACACTTTGAGGTGCACCCACGTAATAGTTTTTATTTTAAAAAAAAAACCCAATTTCTTTCACAAGTTTCATTTGGATAAAATTCAAAATAATTTAAAGAAAAAAAATTTTTTTTTTTGAATTTTAATCAATAAAAGCTTGACATAGGGAATTATAAAATTATTTATAAATACAAGAAGCGATTTTAACAAAAAAAATTGTGCGCAGAAAATATAACAAAAAATGTAAAATGCTTCGAGAAATTAATGGCACTAAAAAAAAAAAAAGAAAATAGATCTCATTCTGCTGGACCATTATTATAGGATCTATTTAAAATTTCTTACCTAATTAAAACTAGTCAATTTATAATAGGCGTCTTTGTAATGATAAATAATTTTTTATTGACATATCTTTAAACGCTAAAAATATATTTATCACGTTAAGCCTTTTGACTGAGATTTTAAAAAATCGATATACTATTATAAATAACATGGTGAAAAGTCTGATAGTTTTTTTTTCATTGGCAAAATAGATTCAGAAAATAGTTTCTTTGAATTAAAGAGAATATTTTTTTTTGATTTAAAAAAAAAACTATCTTTAATTCATTTATTTCTTTTTCTGTGGGTGTATTTCAATAATTAAAATTGAAAATTAACACCAAAAAATATTTTAAAAAATTGAAAAAAAAAATAATTTGTGTTTATAATTTTTCAATATAAAATTGTCACTGCAAACTGTCGTTATTTCTAAATATAATATTTCTTCAATAGTAGAAAAATATTATTAATAAAATTGCATCACATTTGTAATCCCATTGTAAAGAAATCTTATGCGAGACGTTAGTGAGAAAAAAAAAATATTATAAGTGTATTTTTATTATATTAAAAATATTATATGTCTTCTGAAGGTAAAAAAAAATACTTACATATTTTAAGAAAAAAAAATAATATAAAAACTCGAACCATTTTTTGACGTGAAACAATTTAATAACAATTTAATTAACTAAAAATAATTATCAACACTAATGTCAATGATTTTATAATGAAAATTCCAACAGCGATTAAAATTATACTGATATACATTATTAAAAATGAAAATCTAAATTAGTAAATGGAAACACTTTATAAAATCATTGATTCAATATTAATGAATAAAAATTAGTTTTTATTAATGAAAATTTAATAAATAAATAATTTTATTTATTCATTTACATTTAAAAAAAAAGGTTTTCATTAATAAATTCTTATTTTATAATAAACTTCTTCAATGACTTGAAACAATTAAGTGCATATTTAAATTTTAATTTGAAAAATTAAAAAATTATATATTTAAAATAGAAAAATTTAATAACATTATACATATATATAATATAAAGAAGAAAAATAAAATATATAATAAATGTGTGCTATTAAACAAATAAGAGGAAAAAAAAATAGATAGCAATTTATTGTGTCTATCGGAAAAAAAAGATTAATTTATTCAATTAATTATCAACTGTTGACGAGCTCTCGAGAAATTTTTAATTGAATTATGATTTGAAGTAAAAAATATCTTTTTTTATTTCATTGTAATTTAATAAAGTCCGTCAAACTTTATCAATAGTGAAATAACTAATTGAATTGATGATTAATTCTTTTTTTCACCCATATATTTGCATCTGTGTATAACTATATGGAAAGTATTCATTGGGTCAGTATTAAAAACAAAAAAAAAAAAAAAAAAAAAAAATAAGCTAAATCGAGCTTTGAATTATAGGAGAATCGTTAATATTGAAATCTTGTAATGCCACTTAAAAATTAGCTAAAAATCTAAAAGCGTATTATTGGCATCAAAAAAGAAGAATTATTCTCATTATTTATTTTTTTTTTCTTAAATAAATAGAATTCGTAATTGTTAAAGACAGTTATATTCAGTGATTTATCTTAAAATTGATTGTCAATTTCAATGATTTTGGTATCAGATAATAATTTTTATAATTTGATTAGTACATTTTTTTTTGCTATGCATTGTACCTGAAATTTATTTTTTTAAATTTAAACATATTGTTAACTGAACATAAAAATGGGATAATTTACATGTGTAGTCAATAGACAATAATACAATAATTAAACTAATTAAATTGATAATAAAAAACATTTTTTTCCAGTTATTCTATTATTGCTATAATAATAATTATTATTATTACTTAATATCAATTTTTATTTACTATAATTGTACTTTTACTTTTCATTTATAAAAATATTAATAATAATAGTAATTTTTTTTTTTTTTATTAATATTAATATTTTATTGAATTATTTTTAATTTAATAAAGCTCTTACCTTGTCAATATTAGTGAATAATAATTAATTATTATTGATTAATTAGCAGTTATTGCGAATTTTATTTTTTTTAACGCAGGAATAAATTTAAAAAAAAAGTGTGAATTACGTTATTATAATTATATATAATATATCTACACTATGGAGTTGAATTGAATAATAATATAAATATGTTAATTTTGAAGACATGAGTGTAAATAAATGTATTCGCGTGTTAATTGCACAAAAGCATGTCATTAAAAAAATATATATATATATTGAATATATAAAAAATTTATGAGACATGTATATTTTGAATAAAATTAAGTGTTTGTATTTCTGTCAAAGTATTTTATTCTCTAGTCTTTCATTATATATAACTTTAGTTGTTATTTAATTTATTTAAATTTTTCCTTTTTTTCGAAATATTTGCTTAATTTAAAAAAAAACAAAAAAAAAACAATAGAACCAATAAGTGGTTCCAAAACTCATATTATAAAATTATCGAGAGTTCACTGCTTTTCTGTTTACAGAAATGAATATAAATTTAAAAAAAAATTAACTATTGTTTTTATAAATATAAAAAATATAAAATATAAAAAAATATAATAAAAATTAATTTTTATATTATGTAAATTATATGTAACTGTAAATTTATATTAATTATATATATCCAATCTCGACGACAGTTTCTGAATATGAAATTAGTCTCGAAAAATGAATTTCACAGGTAATACAAAAAAGTGTAACTGATTTTTTAAAAATTCACCATCTAATTCCAAAAAAATTATAATTTGTAAGTTGACTTTCATTTTTTTTTCCGACTGATTCTTTGTTGTACGTGTATAAAAGTCGTGAGATTTTTTTTTTTTAATTTAAATTCATCCCTTTAAATTTTTCAACTTTATGCATATGTCTGAAAAATTCTCTCTATAGTATTCTAAACTTTTAATTTATAAATAGAAAATACGGAATTAAGATTTTTTTTTTTTTTGATATGCAAACGACAAAATGAAATGGAAATTTTACAATAGCGGTAATGAATGAGTGTTTGCATAACGTTTTGCGGATAGAGTAATATGTGAAATGATGTTAAATGAATCGGTTATTGCCTCATTATATGACTTAATACACTGCTAAATTGTCAGACATTCTAAGTATTATGAAGACGATTAGTATATATATATTCACTCAAGAGAGACATTTCACTAATATAATTTCTAATTTTTGAAAATAGTTAATTAAAAAATTAATTTTAAATTAATTTTAATTTCTGTAATTTCTGTAATTTTTATATAGGTACTGTAATTTTAATTATTGTGATTTTAATTAAAAAATTAATTTTACTTAAAATATTCTATTTTAACTAATTGAGGAATTTTTTTTTTTTTAATAACTAAAAATAAACGAAATTTTCATACTTACGTGTATATTTATCTGCGCATGAAGGGTTTTTTTTTTAATATTAATTACACGATTTAAAATGTAATTAATTTTAGAAAAAAAATGTTTTAAATACAAAATAAGAAAACAGTAAAATACCAATATTTTAATAATTATTTATTTTACACACTTAGTTGACCTATGCACAACTATACAACAATAGGAAATTATAATTTTTTTTGAAGTTTTCCTAATAAAATCGAAATAATAATTCGATATATTGTAAATACAGTTTCTATTAAAAAAAAAAAAATAATCAAATATTTCGTGTTTCGACTTTTTTTTTTTTGAAATACAATCAAAATTTTCTTGTTTTTCGTCCAGTGCTGCTGATTTGTATTTTTTAATATTAATAATAATATTGTAATTTTTTTTTATAAATAAATTTAAAAATAAACTCTTTGCTCATATTTAAAAATATAAATGAATATAATATATTAATATAAGAATAAGAATTTGAAAATAAAATTCTTTTATTTTTTTAATTTAAAAACTATTTTCAGAATATTTTATTCAGAATAAAATGCATGAATATTATATTTTTAAATAGAAGAGCCAGAATTATATTATTTTATTTTGATAAAAGGAATATTATGTAGAGGTTGTTTAAATGAAAAGATTATTATTTACAAAATAAAATTTCGACCCTAAGAATGCGGTGTTGTTTATAAAATTTTGGATGCCATAAATATGAGCGGTAGCGGTCAATATAAATTTTGCAGGATTGAACAGGAAATTTTCACGTGAATTTATACCTGTATTATTACTTCAGTTAAAATTTGTCTATCAAACCACCAAGTTCATAAAAATAACGTGCGCGTATACAGGGTGATTTTTATATTCCGGACCGCCTAGAAAATTTTTTTTTTAATTCAACTTTTTTTTCGTTAAACAATGAAAAAAATGAGATTAAAAAAAATTTTTTTACGGGATCCAGAATTAAAAAATCTTCCTTTATATCGAAAAATAATTTATTCGGGAGTGCGTATATTATTTAATTTTTTTTCCAGTTTTTTTTTTCGATTCCGTTTATTAAATAAGTTTTATTTTTATTTGATTAAAAATTCGGGCGAGTGAATTAATTTTTTTTTTTTTTAATTTCGGGAGTGTTCGAAATTTATTTAATCGCGCGTGTGTTTTTTTTTTTCATATAGCTCCAGGGCTGAAAATCCAGAAACAGTTGAACATTGTATGTTTTTTCAAAATAAAAAAAATGTCCCCACAAATATTTACGAACGGTTTTTTAAATATTTTTTTTATTAAAATTGTTTTTTAAATTAATTAATTTAACTATAATTATTATGTTTTTTTTTGTAACAAAATAATTTTTTTTTTTGTTTCAGACTGAAGAATTTCAATGAGGAATGCAGATCGGTAAGTTTTTGTTTTCCTAAAATAAATAATATTTTTGAATTTTTTTTTACATGTCTTTAAATTAATTGCCCACATGTTACACACCCTTAATAAAATTATCCGACATTTATTTATAATAAACAAATAAATTATTAGTTCCGTAATAATTTATTTATAAACGTTTTTTTATTGATAAAATAATAATAAAAAATAATTATAATAGTAATAGTATTAATAAATAATAATAATAATAATAATAATAATAATAATAATAATAATAATAATAATAATAATAATAATAATAATAATAATATTAAAAATAATAATAATGTTCTTACTATCAGTTCTGTAATTTTTTTTTATTTCCATTACTTTGTTATTATTATTATTATTTTTATAGAATTATTAACAAATCAGTAGCAGTGGTCGAGTTTTTATAATTAAAAACTCTAAGTACACTATTTTAAATATGACATTTTCTTTTATTTTATAATAATAATAAATTCGAGCGAAAATGGAGTGTCATATAAACAAATTTGTCCGGCACCTAATTATTATTTTTTTTTTTCTTTTTTTTTTTTTGTACATTATAAATCGTATACGTTTGTAAATGGTACATCGATATTGGCCTAGAGCTAAATCATGTGGTATCATCGTTTACTTGTAGTTTACTTTTTTTTGTTTTTTTTTTTTTTTTTAATTTTATTTATTTATTTATTTTTTTTTTCAAACGATAAAATTCGTACCTAGAATAAAATCGACTTTTTTCGTGTCGTCACTTGATTTGAGTCGACGGGTAATTAGCGCATATTTTTTTCAATCTTGTTTGTTTTTTCATATATTTTTCATTATATAATATATGCCCTTTTAATTTTTTGCAAATTGTATAATCTATATCATATTGCGCGCTGATATAAGAAAAGATGCAGAAAGAGACAACAGCTTTCCGCTCAAAAATATCACAATGTCCATAAGTATACTCGTGTAATTTTTTTTTCCTCATTTTTTTTTTTTTTTTGCGAAGAGAATTTGTATTATTGATATATCATATATTATAAATATTATTGTTATTATTTACTTATTTATTATTTTTATTTTTATTATTATTATTAATTAATATTATTATTATATTAATTAATATTACATCATATTCAATAATTAGAATACTTATTACACAACTATTTGACGTATACTTTATTTACAAAATTTCAATGACAATAACGAAACAATTTATTACTTACATATTATATTATCGGTTGTTTTTGCGCGGGCTAAAATAATAATTTTATATTATAAATAAAAGTTCGTTGTGTGGAAAAATTTAGAGACTTTTTTTGTAAAATTATTTTTTTGAAAAAAAATTTTTTGAAATTTGTGATTTAAAAAAAAAAATGAAAATTTTTTTTTAGAAATAGAAAGCAAAATAAAATTTGCAACGAAGAAAATTATTAAATTATTAAATCAAAAAAAAAAAAGAATTTTACATGTAACCACGATTGTTTTATTGTAATTGTAAATATTTTTTTTTTGTCAATAAAAAACAATTTGTGATTAAAATTTTTTTTCATATATTTATAAATAAAAAAAGAAAATTGTTTTCTATTATAAACTTAAAATATTCTTTTTAACAAATTTATTATACTATTTTTTTCGAGGTTATTTCTCATTCAGTTTTACAGTGCAACTACAACTGCGTTCTCTTTTTTTTCATTAATCATCAACTATCAATAATTAAAAATACATCGAATTTTCTTTTCGAAATTCGATTACAATAATTATATATATTTATATGAATTTATACGCCTACTTTTGACTATATTTACAATGCCACGTGTATTACTTAAGGTAACTGTCGTATACTTTTTTTTTTTTTATTTTCTCATTACGTCTCCAATAAGACGATTTTTCGGCTCGTTAATCATATATTTATAATATGGAAAACACGTATTATTGGAAAATCCAAAAACTTAATTCATTTTTAATTGCACAACCCTTTCTTCTTTTTTTTTCATAAAAAGTACATCAAAAAACTACATTTCTTTCTCGAAACAAAAACAAATTTTCTATTTCGTTATATTGTTTCGAATTTCTTTTTTTTTTTTTTTAGTTAAAAATTTCCATTTGAAACAGTGATTGAAATTCAGGAAATTATAATCGAATTTATAATTTATTTTAATCTATTAATTAATTCACTATTTGATTAATAAACCAATAAATTCGACTTTATTTATTGCAAATATAAATTATTCAGAATTTTTTTTATTATTAGAATATTATCTTTAGAAATAATGTAATTGATTTACTATAAATGACTAATAAATTTTTTCTACTTATAATAAGATTTAATAAAATAATAATTGTGTAATAATAATTTAATGTAATAATAGATAATTTATTGCATTATTGATTTTACTTTACAACTAAAAAAAAAATATCTATTCACTGATTCAAATTGGTCAAAAGTAACTACTTGAATTAAAATCACGATACAGTGGAACCTCGTTAATTGTTCTTTTCGAAATAATTTTCTCCAATTTTTATTCAAAAATAATTTTTTCTGATTTGTTATTTTTTTTCGCTTTTTTTTGGAATAACATTACAAAATGCTTGAGAACATTTGCCAGAGGTTCCAGTGTATTATAAAAATAAATTTTTTTTTTTTTGTCAATTGAAAAAGTGATGGTTTTTTTTTCTCCACGGCGCAATTTTGGATTTAAAAATTATTACATTTCCAAATTATGAAATTAATTTGGAAAAGAATTTTTTTTTATTTTTTTTTTTACCTCAGTAGACCGAACTGTATTCCAAATCGTGACCATATTGAGGTGGACCTGGTGGCGGTGGTTGTGGACTATATTGTTGAGAAGCGTCGGAAGCACGACGTCTTAGTGACGCAATACTGTGAGCTTCTCTCCAAACCGAAGCTTCGGATCCATTTCCTTCAGTGACTACGCATGATACAGCACTTCCGGCACCACCTCCACCACTACCGGAAGTCGCACCCGGGGAGCCTTGACCACAATTTAAACCCGAACCCAAACCCTGACCACTACCCACTGATGAACCACCCGGCGGTGAACCCCGCGACGCTGACATGTGAACTCCACCTAAAAGCAAAAATAACAAAAGAAAATTAATTAAATAGAAGAAAAACCAACCAAAAAAAAAAATATTATTTTCTTCTATTTTTTAGTTTTGCAAATATAGAACAATATTTTGGCAATTATTTTTTGCCCTTATTGATTTTTACTGTTCTTACTACAATACTCGGGTCATTTAGACCCAGAGTGATGAAATTTGGCACATTTTTCTATTTCAGAAAGAAATATTAATTATTTTTCTTCGGTTTTTTAGAGTTTTGCAAATATTGAACACCATTTGGCAAATCTTTTTTCTCCCTGTTTATTTATATTTCCCCCACTCTAAAACTCTGATCATTTAGACCCAGAGTGCTGAAATTTGGCATATATTTCCATTTTAGAAAAAAATATTTATTTTCTTCTGTTATTTTTTAGAGGTTTGTAAATATAGAAAACTGCTATGGTAAATATTTTTTTCACTTTGTCAATTTATGTTACCCCTACTCCAAAATTTTTGTCATTTAGACCCAGATTGCTGAAAATTGGTATAATTTTATATTTTAGAAAGAAATATTTATTCTTCTTTCCTTTAAAGTTCCGCAAATATATGAACACTCGTTTGACAAATGAGTTGTTTCTCCTTGTCAATTAATATTTCCCCCACTCTTAAGTTCATTTGAACCCAGAGTGATGAAATTTGGCACATTTTTCTATTTCAGAAGGAAATATTAATTATTTTTCTTCTGTTTTTTAAAGTTTTGCAAATATAGAACACAATTTTGGCAAATATTTTTTCTCCCTGTTTATTTATATTTCCCTCACTCTAAAACTCTGATCATTTAGACCCAGAGTGCTGAAATTTGGCATATTTTTCTATTTTAGACAAAAAAGATTTATTTTCTTCTTTTGTTTTTTAGAGGTTTGTAAATATAGAAAACTGCTTTGGTAAATATTTTTTTCACTTTGTCAATTTATATTGCCCCTACTCCAAAATTTTGGTCATTTAGACCCAGAGTGCTGAAAATTGGTATAATTTTATATGTTAGAAAGAAATATTTATTACTTTCTTCTTTCCTTTTAGAGTTCCGCAAATATAGAAACACTCGTTTGACAAATGAGTCAGTTTATATTTTCCCCACTCTTAAGTTCATTTAGACTCAGAGTGCTGAAATTTGGCACATTTTTCTATTTCAGAAGGAAATATTAATTATTTTTCTTCTGTTTTTTAGAGTTTTGCAAATATAGAACAACATTTTGGCAAATATTTTTTCTTCCTGTTTATTTATATTTCCCCCACTCTAAATCTCTGATCATTTAGACCCAGAGTGCTAAAATTTGGCACATTTTACTATTTTAGAAAGAAATATTAATTATTTTCTTCTGTTATTTAGAATTTCGCAAATATAGAACACTATTTTAGCAAAAATATTTTTTTCTCCATGTCGATTTATATGTTCCTCTATTTTATAACGCTGGTCATTTAGACCCAGAGTTCAGAAATTTGGCATTTTTTTCTATTTTGGAAAAAATATTTATTTTCTATTGTTTTTTTTAAGTTTTGCAAATATTAAAAACTCCTTTGCCAATTTTTTTTTCACCTTGTCACTTTGTGTTGCCCCTACACCAAAATTCTGTCCTTTTAGACCCAGAGTGCTGAAATTTGGCATATTATTCAATTTCAGAAAGAAATATTAAATAATTTTCTTCTGTTTTTTAGATTTTCGCAAATATTCTTTTCTCCTTGTCAATTTATCTCGCCCCTATTCCAAAATTCTGGTCATTTAGACCCAGTGTGCTGAAATTTTGCACATTTCTATATTTTCTTTTATATATTATATTTATATTTTTTATTTAAAAAAAAAAAAAAAATTTACAGAAATACGTTTAGTTTTGTTGGATTTTAGTTTTCTGAGTTTTGCAAAGTTTTTTTTTTCTTTTCCGTAAAAGAAACTGGTATTATAAATATATAAATGTAGGAAAAAAAGTATACGAAAGACATTTTTCAATTTTCTTTATAAATAAAATATTAAAATCAATGGATAAATAATTTGTTCACAATTTTTATGGTATTTGAAGAATTTTATTTTAATACACATATAATATATATATATATATATAAAAGGCAAAGAAAAAAGAAGCCACGACTTTGACGTGCAGAATCCGCTGTTTAAATATTCAATGCGCTCAATAACTTTCACATCAACTAGACCAAAGATTCTAAAAATAGTCTGCGAAAATTGTAAATTAAGTTCTGTATATATCTAGATTCAGAAAATTTGTAAGATTTCATATAACTATTGTATGAACCATAAAAATATATTATATTAAAATTATGAATTAATTTTTTCAGTTAAAAATAAATTTATAAATTTAAATTCAATGCGAGAAGGAGAGGTCTTTTAAAAGTATTTTATTTTTAAAGAAATATTAAAATTTTCGACAGATTTTTAAAATATATTTCCGCAAATTAGCAGAAGTAACAAATATAATTGATTTTATTAAGTATAGTGTTTTATTTCTAAAATATTTTTATTTATTTTATTTTAATTCTCTTTTAATGTTCTTTTATGTCGAAAAATAAGTGGAGTACTTAAACTAAAAATATATTAAGTGAATGGAAAATCAAATTAGGTTTGCAGTTAAATGGGTTTCATTAAAGAAAAGTGGAAGAACGAAATTTTTCTTGAGTGTATTATTAAAAAAAAAAAATAAAAAAAAAAAAAATAAAAACTGATGAGTTTCCAATGTTTTGCATTTTAATAATTAAAATCTATTATTGCTAAATGCGGAAATTATTATTACTTGAAAAGAGTATATCAATTATTATTTGAATTGAATGAAAATTATTTTATTAAAATAAAATTTATTTGATAAAATAAATATTTAGCAGATTTTATTTTAGCTGAATAACGGATTTTAGTTAAATTTTCTATTTTTTGTAAAATTATTATTTGCAAGATGTTTTAGGATATATTTTGACAAAAAAGAAAAAATATTTTTTTAATTCTATTTTTTAATAATTAAATAATTAATTAAATATTTAACTAAATTAAATAATTAAATTAAATATATAGTTCGGTCAAAGATAATAATTTAAATGAAAATTTAACTAAAAGAAAATATTTCTGTAGGCGGCTTTTTTTTGGAGGGTAAAAGTATTTTATGTTTCACGGAATTTTCGAGTTTTAAAGACCCGTCGGTATCGCTTTCAGGAAAGAGCAATTTACAGGTGCGATATCGTTAAAGAGAGATGAAGGGCGAAAGGCCGTATATATATATATATATAGAAAATATTTTTCGTAGCAGGCAGAGAGAGAAAAAAAAAGAGTGAGAGGGGAAAAGAGCATTAATACAGTAGGCAACGCAAAGTGCATAGAGGATGCTACCGTGTGTGTTGTAAAGTTATTTCTCTACCTCTTTGCACGACGTTGGGTGGCCGTCAGTTAATGATTTTTATGATACCTTTTTTCTCTCTTTCTCTCTTTCTTAAATGTTTACAAAGGTTTTTGTAGAAGAAAAAAAAGGAGATTAATGTGTTAAGAAAAAAAGAAAGGATTGTAGTAGGTCAACAGTCGAACACAGTTTTTTCTTTTTAGGGTTTATTGACTCGAAAAAAAAAGAGAAAACGCTTTGATGTTTTTTTTTTTTTTATTTACAAATTCATCAATCCATATTTTTTATATTTACGAAATAGGAAAATAAAAAGAAATAGTTCATAGATTTAAAAATTAAAGTGACACTTCTAAATTTATTATTGGCTATAAATGAATATATATATATATATATCGTTTTATTGGCATTTGTGTTAAAATCACCGAATTTTTGCCCGCGAATAAGGTATTTAGAAAAAGAATTTGAAAACGTTTGCAAAATATTTATTTTCAGAGCGGGAATATAAATTTTCTCTGAATTATTAATAATTGGAAGCGTATGTTATATAGTCGATTATGAAATACTCAATTGGAATGTAATATATACATTTTTATCAACTTTTACTTATTTTTATATTTTCTTCTGTATTTGCAATGAATATGTTACATAAAAACGAAATTAATCGTGAATAGAAGTATTTCTCTCTCTCTCTCTCTCTCTCTCTCTCTCTCTCTCTCTCTCTCTCTCTCTCTCTCTCTCTCTCTCTCTCTCTCTCTCTCTCTCTCTCTCTCTCTCTCTCTCTCTCTCTCTCTCTCTCTCTCTCTCTCTCTCTCTCTCTCTCTCTCTCTCTCTCTCTCTCTCTCTCTCTCTCTCTCTCTCTCTCTCTCTCTCTCTCTCCCATGAAATATAAATTAACTTTCTTAAAATAGTTTAAACATTTTTTTTTATCAGTGTGAAATTTTCTTTATTTTTTTTTTTAGGGTATCGATAAAAAAAATTTAAATAAATATTTATTACAAATTTTTTATTTAAAAATAAAAATAGTTTTTGCTCAGAGACAAATATATTATATTTTTATTTGATTGAAATAAATTTTTACTTTATTCAACAAAATTTGTCTCAAATAAACGAAAAATAAAAAAAAATGGTAGTATAATAATTTTTTTCTTCTAAATATACAACATAATTTTTTATGTACACTCAGAGAAAATAATTTCTCTTAGAAGCAAATAAATTTTTATTTAATTCAAATCAATATTTATTGGTTGCTAATAAATTATATATATATATTTGATTGAAATAAAATATTTCATTTTGATACTCCAATTGAAAATAAAAATTTTTTTTTTCAACCCGTGATTAAAACTCTAAAATTAATGCTATAGAGACGTTTAATTCACACCTCATAGATTACAATTGTATGCTATGATGAGCGCGAGTTAAAGTTAAACTGCTCTCAAAAAGGAGGGATCGCGTCTTTTAAAGTGTTAATCATTATTGAAAACCCAAAAAAAAAAAAAAAAAAAAATTTGTCCTGCTCTAAAAGCTGTTTGCCCGAAGTATTATAACATCGCGTAAAGGCGAGTAGCTGTGTCAGCCTGTTCAAGTATTGCCCCTTTTTACCCTTTCAACTTGCTAGCAACAGTGAACGACAGTAATTACGCCGCAAGTGCATATTTTTTTTCATTTTTTTTTTTTAACAACAAGCAGGTCTCCGACGATAATGCATGTTAATTGGCACCTTACGCGTTACATGCGTTCTTGCGGTACAACGTGAGTTCGTTGTGAAATCCCAAAGCTCTTATACATTTGAAAATTTATAAATATATATATAACAGTTTGAATACATGTATTGGTAATATTGCGCAGAGGAACATTGAGATGATTTCACCGTGAGTCGGCCAATTAGTACCTGTAAAAGGGAAGCACGATCTCTCAACTTGTTACATTTAATTTGGTTCTAACGGAAAAAAACCTGTTCTTCAGTTTAAATAGTAATTATTTACTTTATGTCTGTACAAACGCGCGAAAAAGTGCCATTCTTTTAGAAGTCGTGAATCGTCATTAAAAAAGGGGTATTTCATCTTTTGCAAAATTTTTATTTAACCGAATTTTTATAAAAGAAAAACCATTTTTTTGTTAGTTTTCAAAAATGTTATTAAATATTACAATTTGTTTGTTATTGAAGAAAATTTTCGATTTCTGTATTACCGACGGATGATAAAGTAGTTGTTTTATTTATTCTTTTAGTTTTCTTTGCAAATTATAAGTGTTTCATTATTTTTGTTGTATTCGTTTATTTATTGTCTCTGCCAAGTGGCTCGGATAAATTTTTCAAGATTCTTACAATTTTTAGACTTGATTTCTGTATTACCGACAGATATAGTAGTTTTCTTCCATTTCCTCTAATTTTTAGACTAGATTTCTGTATTACCGACAGATATAGTAGTTTTCTTCCATTTCCTCCAATTTTTAGACTAGATTTCTGTATAACCGACGGATGATAAAGTAGTTGTTTTATTTATTCTTTTAGTTTTCGTGCAAATTATAAGTGATAGTTTCATTATTTTTGTTGTATTCGTTTATTTATTGTCTCTGCCAAGTGCCTCGGATAAATTTTCCAAGATTCTTACAATTTTTAGACTAGATTTCTGTATTATCGACACATATAGTAGTTTTCTTCCATTTCCTCTAATTTTTAGACTAGATTTCTGTATGACCGACAGATATAGTAGTTTTCTTTCATTTCCTCCAATTTTTAGACTAGATTTCTATATTACCGACAGATATAGTAGTTTTCTTCCACATCCCCCAATTTTAATTAAATATATTATGGAAGAGAATCTTCAAATTTCAGAATTTTTGTTTAATACATTGACTTATTGTCTCAGTTACGTGCCTCGGATAAATTTTCCAAGACTCTTTAAAATTTTTAGTCTAGATTACCGACAAATTTCTGAATTACCGACAGATGTAATTTTCTTCTATTAAATCCTCTTTTTTTTTTGCAAACTATAAGCGATATTTTCATCATTTTTGTTTCCTTCATTTATTTATTGTCTCAGCCAAGTGCCACAGCTAAATTTTCCAAGAATCTTAAAATTTTTTCTGATTTCTAAATTATAGTAGTTTTTTTCAATTTCTATTTACGTTTCACTTTGAATTCAAATATTTATAAAGTGAATCTTATTAAATTTTTTTTTTAAATTAATAGAAAGTCGACGATTCTGGAAAGAAAATAACTTTTTGTGAAGAGATTAAAATTTAAATAAATGACTTCGGTCGCATAGGGATGTATTTTCGAAGTATAAAGAATTTGAGACAGTAACATAAACTTCAGACTTGTATGTTTACGCAGTCAGATCTCAAGGTGGTCGCACCTAGGTGCGAGATCTTTCGCTGTATGTTTACCAGAATATCTCGATGCAACCTGTCTTGGTTCAGTGGTGCTTCATCTTTTAAAAAAGATCAAAATGCAGTATCTGTATTCAAAGCAGTATTTTTTTAAACTAAATTTGAAAAAAATTCTTCTTTTTTCAAAACCAAATATGTGAAAAAAAATATTTTTTTTGTTTTTAGTTGAATTATTTAAAGTTAAATATAGTATATATTTTCACATCATCGAGTGTTAATGAGGATACAAATTAGAAATCACATCTTAGTTTTCCGTATAAATAATTAATTTCTAAAAAATTTTTAATAAAAAAAAAAAATCCCCTTTTTTATAATTTTGAAAAAATATTTAAAAACACTCACCGAGTGAATTGAGACCGTAACTTGTTTGATAGACACTTTGCGACGGACTACTGATTGGCAAACCGGAATTACTGAGACTTAAACTTGAGCCAAGTGTACCGGAACTTTGTTGACTTAGTTGACCAAGACTTTGGCCAAAACCACCCATGGTCATTCCACTTTGGCTCAATTGACCCAAACCTGAGTTTGAAAAAGCAGAAAAATGAACTAATATAATTGCAAGATTATTTAAAAATATTCAATTTTAATTAAAATTATTTTTTACAATAAATAAACATTGATTGCCGACCTGGTGCCATTCCCCATCTTTCAGTTGGCGCATGAAACATTCCCGCTGCACCGCACAATTCTGAACTCATTGCCGCAAATGGCGGAAAACTATGCGACGGTACAAGTCCACCTGGTGAACGTAACATTCCGCCAGTCTTCTTGCGTTTCTTCCATTTGGCCCTTCGATTTTGAAACCATACCTGAAAAAAGAACAAAAGATTTCATTTTTTTTTTTCATATCTCTGAATCTAAATTTTTGGATAAATAAATAAAAAAAAATTCTTCTCGGATCATTTCGACACAGAAAATTAAAAGGCATTAAAATAAGCTGCGACGCTTCTTATTTTAATCCATTTTGGTATTAAAATAAGCAAAATTGGATTAAAATAAGAAGCGTTGCAACTTATTTTAATGCCTTTTAATTTTCTGTGAAATCAATCCGTAGTAAAATTTTAATCCTTTCAAATTATGGAATTTTTTTTCCGAATAAATCCGAATAAATTACGAAAATGTTTAATTTTTTTTTCGCCTGTTTTTTTTTGGGGGGAGCAAGTGGAAAGGAATGAAATAATGTATATATTTTCTTGGTGTTAGGACCTACAATATCTTCGACCCCCGGGTGCCGGTAGCTATTAGCTAACGTTATGAGCTGTTGATTCTGGCCACGTAGTGGCCCCCTAAGCTTGGGGGGGTCTCGGGGACTTGATTTATTGATATCGCATGCAAAGCCCGCCTCTGTGTTCTCTCTCTCTCTCTCTATATATATATCTCTCTCTCTTTCTCTCTCTCCAATATATATATATATATATATATATATATACCCTCGACCATAGACTAGAGAGTCCCTTTCCTGCTTTGCTCTTGGCCATAGCATGCATAGCCCGTTTCATACGTGACCATAAATTAGTACTCTCTAGCATTAATGCGCAAGCGTATATATATATATATATATATATATATATATATATATATATATATATATAGTTGAACAAGAGATGAGAGAGAGAACGAGAGAGGGCTTCTGCCAACACTACCGGATTATACGAATCTAATTGGATATATGGGATTTACACATTCTACTCCATTTCCCAGGCACTGATTTCTACTCATTGTGAAACAATCGTCACATTTCTTGTTAAGATGCATTTTCTTACTATATATACATATTTATTATTTATTTTAATTATTATTCTTTTTTTCTTCTTGGAGAAAAAAAATTTTCTCTTATTTTGGAAGGCAAAATGCCAAAAGTGGTGGAATTTTAATTTTTTAACTCTCTTTTTAAGGAAAGAAAAAAATGTATACTATCAAATGGAGACCTATTATTATTATTATTATTATTATTATTATTTTTAGTCTAATGTGATGGTATTTTATATTGTATCACTTAAAAATGAAATAATTTGCTTTTATTTAATTATTTATTTACATATATATACGGGCAATGCCCTTTCGTACAAGAGTACTAAAGTATATAAAAAAAAATGTTCAGTCTGACTGAAATTTACTTTCACTACTGATAGTAAAAAAATTTCATATTTGTCTAAATAAAACGTAACTTTTACTACTGATTCTAAAAAATTAATGACAAATTCTATATGTGAAACTTTCCAATACTACGGATAGTAAAAATTAACACTTGTCTGACTAAAATTTACTTTCACTACTGATAATCAAATTCACTGAAAATTATATAAAGCTAATTAAAACATTATTTTACTACTGACACTGAAAATTGCAAATATGTCTGACTAAAAAGTTACATTAACTACTGATCCTAAAAAATTAGTAGAAACTGTTTTTGCGATGTCTGACCAAAACTGTATTTTACTATTTAGACTAAAAATTACATATCTGGCTGACTAAAATTTACTTTCACTACTGGCGATCAAATTATAGTGGAAATGTTATATATAAAGTTGTCTGACTAAATATTTCTTTTACCACTGACACTAAAAAAAAAATACACACTTGGCTGACTGAAATTACTTTAACTAGTAATTTTCATTACTAGAAATTATTTCACGATGTTTGACCAAATTTTACTATTACTACTGGATTTTCTAAAATCATAATAATAAAAACTGGTTTGTTTTATTAAAATTTATTATTTTATTATACTGGCTATAAAAATTAGTAGAAATTAAATACATTTGCCTTACTAGAAACTACTTTTACTACTGTATACTAAAATTAGTTACTGTCTGACTAAAACTTACTTTTATCACTGACACTAAAATTAGTGAAAAAAATAGAAACAAAAATTAATTACAGAAGTAAGTAACAAAAATTAATAACAAAAAATAGTAACAAAAAAATAGCAACAAAAAATAGCAACAAAAAATAGCAACAAAAAATAGTAACAAAAAATAGTAACAAAAAATAGTAACAAAAATTAACAAAGTTAGTAACAAAAATTTACCATCTTGTTTAACTAAAACTCTCTTACTACTGTTAAAAAAAATTAGAATTTAGTAATTGATTTTATTCCCCGCATCTATTCATGATTCTAACCATCAATTGAAACTAGTACCGTACATTGTAACTAATAACAAATTTAATTATCATTAATTATAATTTAAATCAACTGCAATTGTCACACTATAGTTCCTGTATAAATTAATAATTGTAAACTCTTATGTATCGATTATGTATCTTATGTTTCGATTTGTTTTATATATTAAAACGAATAATAATAAAATAAATAAGTATGTAAATAATAATAATAATAATAATAATAATAATAAATTTGTTTACAATTAAAAACGATAATGAGATTATTCCTCGATACACGAATTTTTGAAAAATAAATAAGTCTATAAAAATATCGCAGGAAATAATAATTAGAAATGTGAAAATTAGCAATGCAAAAAGAGAATTTAAAAAGTAGTGCCATTGTTTAAAAAAAACAGAAGTTTTATCTTAAAATATATAAATAAACTTATGTATTTTAATCTCTGACAAGTAGTTTATCATGTCCTTAATGAGTTACTGCATGAATTATTGAATTATTTATTTCAGTTATATTTAAAACTTTTACTAATAGGTTTATTTGATAAATATTGAAAATATTAATTATATTTTCTGAATTAACATATTCTGTTTAATTAATTTTATTTCATACCTTAATTTATGTTTACTTTTAAAATTAAAAACAATTATGTACAATTTTATGTTTTGCATATATTAATTATTATGTATGTAATAATTTGTGTTAATTACAATGGTAATTAATTATTAAATTGCAGACAATTTATTTCATTATTATTAGTTAATTTTTTATTAATTAATTGCTACTAATTACTATTAATTGCTGTTAATTATTATTAATTAATATTAATTACTATATTAATTGATATTAATGTGTATCAATTTGTATTAATTGATATTAATTCCTTTTAATTGCTATTAATTAATGTATAATATTAATTAAAATTAACAAGTATTTATTAATATTAATTAAATACTATTGCTATATACCTAATTAACAATTTAAATACCTAATTAATTATCCATAATATCGATTATTGAATTCATAAAAAATAAAACCATAGACATTTTTTTTTTCCAATGTCACCGAAAATTTTCTCTCACTTTTTCTTATACTAAAAGCAAAAAGGCGTGTCCCTTTTATAATTCATTTTTTTTTCTTTCCTTCCTTTTTTTCCAAACCCCCTCAACAACATAAGAACTGAAAGGATCTCTCCTTCCAATGTTGCTTATCAAGACTCTCTTCAACCCTGTTTTTGTCTCGCTTTTTGCTTGCTTGTTGGGTGGGTGTGGTTGCACTGATTTCACACTAGAGTTGCGTCTAAAAGCCCGTGAATAATTCCCTGAAGAACAAACCTTTGCCCAGATATTGCGCAATGACGTATTTTTAGGGTCGCATATATTTAGAAAATAAAAAACGTGTCAAGTTGAGAAAGTGTAGGTTATGATTTTTTGTTAATTTTTTTTTTTTTTTTGGAATCAAGGTTGACAGTGACATTTCCGATTCAGGTGAAGCTAGAATTTTAAATAGGTACTAATTTGGAAAAGGATATTTTTAATGAGATATTCTCTTAAATAAAGGAAAATTTAATATAACCATTTTGTTTGTTACTTTTTAAGATAACAACAATTTCTATAGTGACTGTTAACTACTGCTAAAAGTAACAATTATTATTAGTAATGAACCAATAAAAGTAACAACTATTAAGAATTTCTGTGAAAAGTAACAACTATAAACGGTAATTACTGTTAATAATAACAACCATTATTAGTAACGCCCATTAATAGTAATGACCATGAATGGTGAATATTGGTAAAAGTAACAATCATTACTAATAGCTACCAAATAATAGGAATTTATATTTAAAGTAACAAACATTATTAGTAACTACCATGAAAGATAACTACTAATAAAAGTAAAACCATTATTAGTAACAACTATTATTAGTAACAACTATTGTTAGTAACAGCTATTAATAGTAACTACCATGAATGGTAACTGGTAGTAAAAGTAACAACCATTAATAATAACTGACGTTAACGATAACTACTAGTAAACCGTTAATTGTGGCAATTAGTAAAAGTAACAACCATTAATAGTAACTAGGATTAACATTAACTACTAGTAGAAGTAACTACCATTAATGGTAATGGGTACCTACTAGTTAAAACAACAACCATTATTAGTAACAACTATTATATATTATAATTCATAACGGTAACAACTATTTAAAGTACCAACCACTATTAGTAACAACTTCTAATAGTAACTAATCAATATTGGCAATTATTGATAGAAGTAACAACTATTAATAATGGCAACCATTAAAAGTAAAAAAAAATAAATAATAATTGGCATAAACGGTAACTTTTAGTAAAAGTAACAACCATTAATGGTGATTACTAGTAATAGTAACAGCCACTAATAGTAACTGTGATTAACGGTAACTAGTTAAAGTAACAAGCATTATTAGTAAAAACCATGAACCATAGGAACTACCATGAATTGTAACTACTAGTTAAAGTAACAACCACTATTAGTAACACCTTTTAATAGTAACTATCATAAATGGCAATTATTCGTAGAAGTAACAAATATTAATAATAACTATTAAAAGTAACAACTATAATTAGTAACTGGCATTAACGGTAACTTCCAGTAAAAGTAACAACCATTAATAGTAACTGACGTTAACGATAACTACTATTA